TTTATTAGTATAATATAATATAAAATTTAAATATATATATATACACACACACACATACATACATACAATTGTGTTTTTTTTTATCTCCGTTCGTTTATGTTTGCTTCTTTATGTTCGTTTGGTTTGTTCATGATCATAAACGAATGAACATGAAAATGAGAACTTGTTTGTTTATCCGTTCGTTTTCGTCATTTGTTCGGCTAACTTAAATGAACGAATATGAACAATTATATGTTCGTGTTCATTGGGTTTGTTTACAACCCTAACTAAGATGAATTTTTTCCGGATAAACAGATATTGAATCCGAGGTTAAGTCCAGCGTGATATCATCAACATTATAGGCTTTGTTCATTTGTATCTGCATGATGCATTGTGTCTAATAGCATCCATGATACCAAAATTACGGTTTTGAATTTTTATTTAAATGATATAACGATAAATACAATTAAAAAATACATAGCCCAAATAACAAAATCGATAACGACTTTAATTCAAAATATTTATATCGTTCAAAAAATTCATGTGAGCCTTTTCAAACACCAGTGACATGCATGTTGACCATGTCTTCAACAAGTTTGTGATATGACATCCATGTGTTTATGTTCGTGGTTAAAGACATGGAATTTTTGTTCATCATGAACCATTTCTTCATAGTCAAATCGGATGATCAACTATAATTGTGCAACCAAAGGATCTTTGGTCTAATGGTAAGAATTGACTCTCTCAAATAAAAAGTAATGGGTTCAAGTTTCACTAGGAGATATATGTTGTGTTTAGGATTAGATTAGGAGTAAGATAATTTGTTTTTTTAAAAAAAAAAACTATAATTGTGCAAATTCCTCTTTTTTCTATTTAACTTTGAAATCTGCAATAAAAATAACACTCAATCTTAAAAATACATTCTCTTTACATATGACTTACCCTTATAAAAATTTAATAACAAATCTAAACAAATAGTTTATCTTTAACATTTATATTAAAAACTAAGGAGTACACGATATGAATATAGTTCATGTATATATCTTGATCCTATCAATTAGGCACATGGGTTGTTTCCTATAACTAGGAAGTTTAACGTGATGCATGTAGGATGTCCTTAAAATTTAGTATATAATCGGGCATGTTGAATTGTTGATGCTATATTTGAACTATGTTCTTTTGATTTTATTCTCATGTTTAATAAAGTTAAATCGAGGCATTTAAGTCGGTGACATGTAGGTTCTCGTCACTTTGTCAATGTTTAGCAACATGAAACATAATAATATAAAGAGATTTATGTAACAATTTAAATTTTTTAAAATTTTTAAAACTTTAAAATGTTATAGTTTTAACAAAATCATTACGGGTGTTACCACTCCATTTCATTGGGTCTTACCATTAAATATCACACAAGTCATAGCAAACAAATAAAAATTATATAATATATAAAGAATTTAACAAGTTCCACACAATTTTCTATCTCATAACTTCTAATTTCATATATCATCTTTCTCCCTCAATATAACCTTAGATACATTGCATTAAAAAGAGACTATGTAAGACGAAAATACCGCATGAGGGGTTTGAGACACAAAACATATTAAGTATTTACATGAAAAATAATTTCATTTATAACATAACATAGTTTTAGACCATAAAACCTCTTCTAGCATTATCAAGGAAAACTATTTTCAAACGTATCATAAATATCATTTCATATCTCATCCTTTCAAACGACGTATTTCCACATTTCATTCTCTTTTATCATTAATGGCTGATTCTGGTATGAAACCGTTGTCATTTTTATACTCAAGGTACCCCCAAGTCTATACCAAGATGGAAAGAACAAATCAATCCACCATGACATCGTGCTAACTAGGACATCTACTTCACGAAGGGGGGGACTTCACCAAAGTAGATTCCTCTAGATCCCGTTACGGGGATATCATGGCTCAATCAATATGTTATTTCCTTTACTTTATAATTATTTTCATTACTTTTCATTTAGTTTCATTATTTTTCATTTCTTTTCATTACATTTCATTCTTTACACATTTCATGCGTTAGTATCAAAATACTCATTTCTAAAATTAAGACATCTATATTTCAAAAACATTTAAAACACGTTATCAAGACATTCCTTCTTCCAAAACATTATTTGTTTTCAAAAATATTTTTTCCTTCATCGCATTCTTTTAGATCGTTCTTTCAAATCATTCATTCCAAAAAACGTTTAACACTTTAGTAACATCCCAAAAATCAAGGAAAAATTTTTATATTTTTAAAATCCAACCAAAAACCATAACTGCTTACAAACCATAGTCCCCAAAAGTAATAATCACGAATCAGGGTATCCCCAAATCAAATATCATAAAATTAGAAGAATGTGCACGATCACACATTTTCTTTCCCTCGATCATTTGAAGTACCTAAATATAAATCTTAAATTGTAAGCCAAACCTAATGAGTTTTCTCCAAATACCACACAACAAAACATATATAAATAATATATACTTGATCCACAACCTCGAGATTGGATTACCCCTTGAATGTTTCAATTGTTTTTTTTTTTTTTTCAATTTGAAGATTGTGATTAATTTGATAACAGATTCAGTAAAACTATGAACTTTAAGATGATATTGAATGATTTTTGAAACTTGAATGATATGATTACGTGATTGATACTGAGAATTGATGATTTAGCGATATGATGATTTTTAGAGAAAGAAGGTGTATGCTTTCTAAACATTAAGTTGAAATTTACTATTATACCCTTGCATTATTTAACAATTGACGAAAGTTGAGGTTTAGTTCCATTGGCAGATGTTTAATCTCACAATCTCTATTTTTTTATTAAACTCAAGAGGATATATACATATATGAAAACCTTTTTACTTTTCCAAGAGTTCCGCTATATTGAAAATGATATTAGAATTATGTAGAAAAGATTTATTGATGACGAAAAACTATGGTATCCATTATAGTTTTCAGAAGTACGGAGAAATATACAATTACTTATTATATAGTTTTTACTAATTAGTTAATGTAACATCTATTACAACATTTAACTTATTTTTTTTAAACAAAGATTAAAATTTGTATTCATATGAATCATGACATGCTTAGATAATCCATCTCATTCGCCTACGTCAATCCATACATTCGACCACGATAATAGCTTCTTCAATTTTCAACTCCTTATCCCTACTTAAATACTCTAACTATATACAAAAAACTCCACAATCCATGTCAATCATCTTGTTGCAGCATAACTTCAACATATTGAATGTTCAAGTCCTCGTAGATCGACTTGTATATCATTTGTACGATAATTTATCGACTTTAAGAACACAATTGTATGAGAGTTGAAAGCTAATAACTATTCCAATATATATTCATTAAAGACTTTTGAAATCATGTTGTCAAATATTGTTAAAGCCCACGTCCTTGGATCTAAACTGCTACCTAACCAATGAGTAATTTACTATTAATGGGGGGAAATATATGTATTATGATGTGAGATTTATTTGAAATCTAAATTGATATAATAACCCTTATGAATTTGAAAAGAAAGTTACCAAATCAACACTATCCTAATAGTAAATGACTCTATGTCTCAATATGTTGTTGAAGAAGGGGAATCCTTTAATTAGTCACCAATCCATTTAGTTATATTTTCAATTTAAATGCATAAGATTACATACTTTACTATCTAGCCAACCATATTGTTACATCCCTTTTATCGAAGAGACCGTAATTTTTTTTAATATGCAATGCTATCTTGAAAAAGAGGATGGATACTCATGGAGTCCAATGGTTACTCGTATGCGATGATTATAATTATGCTCCTAGGCATTTTGCGTACTTATGTTGTATCACAAATTTTGGTACCTTGTACGTTGCCCTTAATCGATAATTGATCCATCCTAAAATGACAAAACATATTCCATATTAATAATAACGATTGCTAAACAAATTGAATAATTATTAAACAAGCTACCATCTTTGCATGCTTATTGGTACTCCATCAACATCCTCATCAACGATGAATTCATCATAAAGAGCATCATAAAAAATATATTAATATTATTGATTACTTAAAATCTATATAATTGTTTTAAAATTACCTAAGTTGTAGACATATCCTTAGCACCTTCATAATCCTCATCGACAATGGATCGTTCATAAAAGACAACATACTAAGGTTATGTTTGACAAACTAGCTGAAAAGTTAGTTGTTAGCTGAAAAGCTAGCTAATAGTTGAAAAATTAGTTGTTAAACAAAAAACTATCTAATAGCTGAAAAGCTAGCTAATAAAAAATGACGTTTGATAAATATAGCTGAAAAGCTAACTAAAATATATAAAATTACATAAAAGTACATGTGAGAGTATCTATTTCTATAATTAATTAAGGGTTGTATTTAGAAATTTTTTAAAAAAACTCCTAAAAAAACTAGTTTAAGTAATTTTTCAAAAAGCTAGCTTATAAGCTACTTTTTAGCTTACCAAATACGACAATATAAAAAAACTTAAAAAATAAGCTAGCTGTGGTACACCAAACACAACCTACATAAGAAGAAAAATTGGTCATGGCCGAAGATAGAGTCATTTTATTTATTAGGGAAGCAAGCAAAGTTTTTTTAGGGGAAAAAAGCTTCCGTAACGAAGGTTTCCAGGCCAATTTTTGCGCACCGACTAATCGTCGGCTGCAAACATGAAGCTATATCTCATGTCCTGGAACCACTGCTGACAAACCTCCATGGTCACAGGGACTGAGAAAAACAAACAAAGTTACATATAAAGAAACACCCTTTTTTATTTTGATTATGAAAAAAATAATTTCAAAAAACTAAAAATTAAAAAATTAATCAAATAAAAACCATATACAAGAAGTTTTTGTTTGAAATTTTGTCGGAGAATTTTTTTTTTCCCATCCACATGGGCCACATCGATCGACGGTTAAAAAGAAGTGTCCAAAGTCCCTATAAAGAACCCATATAAAATCTGCCATTCCTCAGTCCTCACACTCATACAACTCCTAATAAGTCCTACCATTCTCACTCAGACAATATCACAAACACCTTCACGACAACCCATCAAAACCTCTGCACAATACAAATCACCATGGCTAGATCTCAACAACGATACAGAGGAGTTCGACAAAGACATTGGGGATCTTGGGTCTCCGAAATTCGCCACCCTATCCTGTAAATTTCTAATCTCGATGCCTCTCATTTCAAACACGACAACTGAATCTTGGTGCTAGCTAGGCATAATTCTGAAACATTTTCGTTTTCTAATCTTTACATTTGTTCGAACAGGAAAACAAGAATCTGGCTAGGGACATTCGAGACAGCAGAGGATGCAGCAAGAGCGTACGACGAAGCGGCTAGGCTCATGTGTGGTACAAGAGCGCGGACAAACTTCGAAGGGTCGCAGTCGCAATCGCAATCGCAGTCATCTTCTTCAAAGCTACTGTCTGCAACTTTAAGAGCAAAATTACATAAATGCCACATGACATCTCTTGCAATGACGAAGAAAACAGTGGTGGGTAACCAAGAAGATCAACAGTCTCATCAGCGGTCTCCCTGCTCTGATACAGGGGAGGAGTTCATGGAGAACAGGGGCAATTTCGGGAATATCGTGAATTGGGAGGGTAAAGTAGAGAATATTCAACAGTATAAATCTTCTGAAGATGAGCATATAGAGCAAATGATCCAGGAGTTGCTTGATTATGGAACAATCGAGTTTTGTTCTGTTGTGCAAAACTAAACGAATCATCTTTCTTTTGGTCTACCAAAACGACACCGTTCATCCACACTTATTATTAGTGGTTAGTGAAGCCTCGAGTATCAATCAATTCCTTAATATCGAACGAAAAAAAATCACCATTTTAGAAAAAATCAAGCAAATACAGTAGGGGGGATAATTTTGTAATTTTCATCATGGTTGATTTCACTCTTTGTACCAAAAATAAATAAATGAGTACTTGAGTTATGATTTTGGGTATTACAAAATTTGTTAAAAGATACTAATCTTGCATGTTATGATGTCTAATATTATACTTCAGGACACTGACCTTATGATTATATTGTCGTGACTTTTTATCTCGTGTATATGATTATTTTAGTATTGCAAACAAAACTGTTCCAAAAAGATTCTAGATGATTGATTGCAAATTATACTCTAATTGGTATCACTATCGATAAACATGTAATGATGTGGATATAGGAGTGATAATAAAAAGTTTGACACGTTCCATAAGAACCTCGGATAGCAATTTTAGATACCAAAAATGTTTGATCTTTCGACAAAGTTTTGCGTAAATTTATGTATGTTGTTCAATATTCGTTAAGGGTCGAAGTGGTATGAATTTCATGAGTGATAAACTTTTTTTTTATTCCATTAAATGTTTAATAATGAGTAAGTATTAAATGGATAAATGATTTATTTTGTAATGCAACATGTGTTTTATATGTAATACTTGTTTCTTTTGTAGACCGGTTGAACACCCCGAGCATGAAAAATGAAAATGATTATGTGATTTTTTTTGTCCAGAAATGACATCGTATAATAAATAATTATTTATCTGAAAACTGTTATAAATTATTAAAATTGTAAGAAATGATAATGTTAATATAAATCTAAAAATATAAAAAATAAACCTATAGGGATTCAGGTCTTATCACATAATAATATTTTAAATATTCATGAAATTCAATTAAATCGGGATTTCAGAATCCATTGATGAATTTGGTTGATAGATCAATGGAATTCAAACCTAACGAAATTCGTCAAAATGGTATTATGAATATTTATATATAAATAAAAGGTTAAAAATGTATATTTAATATTGAATTTCAATTTATTTCTAACAACAAGATGCTTAATGGATTATTATTCCTCCAAATTTCAATTGTTTCGCATTTTATAACCCATTGGCCATTGTTCTCTTATAATATTAGATTGAATTTAAAAATATATTATAGATCACTATTAATAAAAAATATATATATAATATATTATAATAAACTTTCTCCATCAACATCGATAACTATATATCCTTTATTTGGGGATCTTAACAAAGCATATGATGAAGTAACTTGAAAAAGAGACGTTAATATGAACAAGACTAGAGAATAAATGGCTCAATGTCATCATCTCTTTTAAGTGGTCTCAACTCTACTTTCGATCGGATAATGACATTTTTCTTTTTCCTATAGTTTTTGGCTATTCGACCTTTTTCTTAAAATAATCAATAAATTACATAAAAAATATCTCTTTTCTTAACATTTGTAACATTATTTCATTTTTAGAATTAAAACGAACCGTTATGTGTTTACCAATCTTTATAAACCATTCATGCTAAACATTTCATTATTCTATCCAGTGGTGGTAGACTAAAATAAATAAATAAATAAATAAAATAATCGGAAGTAGCATATGTAATTAACTAATTTTAGGGGTAACATGCCATGAAATTTATAAAATATCAAAAAAAAATCTCAAAAAATTTACACTACACAGAAAAATTGAAGGGTAACACAGGACTACTAGTCTACCATTGATTCTATCAATATCAGTTTTTTTTAATAAAATAGTCCTGATATATCATAAAATTGTTATCAAATGGATAAATAATTTTAAAATATTTTCTATAGCTTTAGAAGTTGTAATTTACTTTCGACAGAAAAGTTATTTTCTTTTGACCCGCATATCATATAATATTGTCACATATTACATCTTCTTTTATCTTTGATTAGACAAAAGCCAAAAGGAACAACTTCTAATGTTGGTTTCTTTTTTATTAGAAGAGACAAACTTCATAAACCTTGCTTTGATTTGTTTTCAACAAATAATGCTTTAATCCTTTATCAACTATTTATTAAACCAATATTTAATTTGAGTTTGGGATAATGATGAAATGTGGTCCACAGCAATTACCACAAGAGATTACACAAATATATCGTTCAACATTCTCATTCTATCGCAAGATATATTTTAGAATCGGGGTGTTTTTTTATGCACGATTTATCGTAGGGATGATGATAATCCTAACTCGAACCCACCAATTTCCGAACACAATCTAATAAATAGGAGGTTGGGTTAAATTTGTGTACTCATTTAATTAAATAATCAATCTGTTTAACCCGTTTAAATAAATGAATTGGGTTAGGGTTGAAATTTCCAACCCGTCAATTCGTTTAAAATTTTTAATATTTTATAATTTATATTTTTATAGTATTATTATTTAGTTGATTATTATATTTTGATTATTTTTTATTCATAAAAAACATGGTCAATAATCTTCACTAGATTCGAGTCGCTAAAAGTGATAGTCGAGTTGGATAAAATTTAAAAATTAAACATTTATAATGTTTTATGGTTGTAAACATTTGGTTTATGTTTGTGTTATGGATCTATAAAGTTATTGGTGTATTATTTTCTTTCTTGAAAAATTATTATATATTTTAAATTGTATATAATTTTATTTGATGGATTATTTGATTTTTAAGGGTTTTTTTGTTTTTTGTTTTTTTGTGAAAAATTAAACGGGTCTAACATGTGTTTAACATATTTAGTAAATAGGTTTGGTTAGAAAAACAATTAATAGGTCAACCTGATTTCAACTCATTTACTAAAAATGTTGGGTTGGATTGAAAATTATCGACCCGCTTACTTAAAGAAATTAGGTTGGATAGAGATTTTCTTTCTTGAAAAAATTATTATATATTTTAAATTGTATATAATTTTATTTGATGGATTATTTGATTTTTAAGGGGTTTTTTTTTTTTTTTTTTTTTTTTGTGAAAAATTAAACGGGTCTAACCTGTGTTTAACATATTTAGTAAATAGGTTTGGGTAGAAAAACAATTAATAGGTCAACCTGATTTCAACTCATTTACTAAAAATGTTGGATTGGATTGAAAATTATCGACCCGCTTACTTAAAGAAGTTAGGTTGGATAGAGATTTTCCGTTTATGACTCAATTCAATCCATTGTCACCCTTAATTTACTATTTGGTATTGTTTTTTCTTATAATTATTTTAAAATATGACATATATTTTAAATTATAGCTGAAAGTTAATAGTTGGTAGTAGGTAACGTAAAACTAAAGCTTTTATTTGTGTAAAATTATTCAAGAAAAGTACATATATGTTTTGAAATGTGTAAAATAGCATAAAAAACTAAAAATAAAAAGCTTCTAAATTTTTTTAAAAACTACTTGAAATTATTTTTGAATTATAAGTTTTTGGGTTAAAATAAAAATTTTAAAATCATACTCATATACAAAACTTTTTTATTAATTTGAGTTTGAGCTTCATAAATGTAACACTATAGTCATGTAACTTCATAGTTTAAAAGAATCAAAATTCAGTGCATCTCATCGACATGCTTTGTAAGTGTGTGTGTGTATAGAAAACCCAAAAAAACAAAAGATTGGATACAACTGAAATATTAGTTTATAAAGTTTTCAAAATAAATATTGGTTAACTTTTTGTTCTTTAAATATAAAGTAAAAGTAGAAAATGAAAAATATTATTTAGAGATTACTTAATTAGTTTTGCTATCAAATTATGCTGTAGCTCATATGTCCAAGACTCACATGTGAGACACACTTGCCATGATGTTTCATGTGTTTTGTGTTATTCTCATTTCTCACATGCCCCTCCCACAAATCGGTTCTTACGTCCTAATATAATAAAAATATTGTTCTTATTTTTGTAAATGAAATCAGCAATCGTATCATCATAAAGACAAATTTTCAAAAATGTTATGTAGTTTGTAAATTTTTTTAGGTAAGGTTTAAAAGAAGTTTATTAGCAAAAAATTTCATCTTTGGTGGTTTTTTTGTGATTTTAATCCCTACCTCGTTAATTTTAACAGTATTTCTATAACTTTTGGCAAATGATGGATTTACCTACTGGGATCATTTTTGCAGTTTTATCTTTTTACCAACTTATAAAGATCAATTATACATTTTTTTTCTTTTTCATTTTATTGAATTATTGTATATTAATTCTTTTAATTTTTTTTTTAACTTTTTCTTACTATATTATTTTTTTATTGGATTATTATATATTAATAAATATTATTTTTAATATATTATATTTTTATATTAATAAATATTACTTTATTTGATTATTAGTTTTTTTTAATTAATTATTTATTGCATTAATTATTTTTTATTAGATTATTATATATTAATAAATATTATTTTTAACATATAATATTTATTTATTAGTAACTGTTACTTTATTGGATTATTAATTTCATTTAATTAATTTTTTTTTTAATTTTTTTTGTTTTAATTCTTTTTATTGGATTATTAAATTAAATTTATTATTTTTATTTATAATAAATAATATCTTTTAGTTGTTTTTATTTTCTTTTAATTTCTTTCTTCGTTGTTTTAAATAAAAATACCAAAAAAATCTCACCCATTCCACATTTTTCTAATTTATTTTAAATATTTGGAAGATAACATATTTTGGATAACGCCACCACCATCACTCGGTAATGAATGGTTGGTTGGAGGCTGTATGTTTTCGGGGGTTTATTGCACATTGTGTGGATAATCGACTGGTGTAGTTTTCGTCAAGAATGGCAGACTGTAGTCGAAATCCTTTATAAATATTTTTTTATTATATTCTATTATATCCGTCGAAATCTTCTATATCTGCTACTAAGTTGACCATATTCTGCTAAAACCACAAGGAGGTCCTATCCAAACACTCCTGGCCAGCTCCTTCATATGTTACTTTTTACCACTTTGCATCGTCGTATCATCTCACTGGAAATCGTCGATCATCGACTACAGTCAGTCATAGTGATTTGTTGTTACTGAAATTATATACATATAATATTTATCTGTTGGAGACAGTCTGATAGTAGTTTGTTGTGACTGAGTGATGGTGGTGATGTTGTTCAAAAGATGTTATCTTCCAAATATTTAAAAAAATTAAAATGAGATTTTTTGGTATTTTTATTTAAAACAATAAAG